AAATTACCACTTTCTGACTCCATTTTCCCCAAAACTGCCTGCAAGCTAAGAAAGGTTCAAATGTTAAACACAATAGACATGGGGAGAGATAAAACATATTCTAGATGTCCTAAGTATGTATATTTCTGAACAAAGTTACTAGTATTTACTCTAGCTTGTTTTCCAGAGCTGATCTAGAAAACGTTTAGTAACTGCTGCAGAATAATTGCACCCCACACTATTATGAAGCAACACAAAAAACAATGTGCTTATCCAAACCAAAGCCTCAGTCTGAAAGCCCTAGTTAAAYAGGGCTCCATTAAGTATGTAATCAGAACTTCAATGTATTTGCTTTAATTCCCAATTCTGTGCCCCTAGACCCATATGGTGCCCTTGCTAGTGAAATAAGTGACTTTCCACTCTAACTTGACTATTGATTCTTCCCAAAACATAAACACAGCTGTGGCATTACAACACTTACGTGAACGTGTACTCAGAGGCAGAGMAGCAAGGAAATGGGAAGTACTCTGTAAAATGCCACTCCTTTACATGGAAAGTAAGAAACTGTCATATTCTTCCTTCTAAGTTGCTCTGGACCACCTCCATAAATGCTGGTGCAATATCTGAAGCAATGCTYTCCTGCGCCACACAGAAAAAGACTAAAATTTCGTGTGCATGTATTTCTGTGTGAATGGACTAAGAAGTACGAAATCGGAGATTTCACTTTCTGTAAGGCCGTTTAAGAGCTACTAAAAATAACCAAAAACGTTAGCTGTGTTCAGGATATTGCCTGTGTTTAAACAAAAAAAACTCTCCTTTAGGCAGACAAAGGTACAAGGGAAAAACACATAATGAGAAAAACAGTTAGTGTGCACATCACAACGACTACGACACGGATGAATCAACTCTTGATTCGTTTACGCACGACCTGGTAACACATGCTTTTAGATGATCACCCSAATCCACACTTGGGACAATAACTTCCCTGTCGCAATACATCGCGTTTCCTAGCGTGATCGGTTTCCCCGACGCAGAAAAGTAGAAATCCCACCCACAGTCCGAGGTGGCCCGGCCCGGGCAGCAGAGTCGGGCGCCAGCACAGCTCCGTGCAGGTCCTCGTCCTGGGCGTGCGACGGACTCCCCACGYCTCCCGCGGGGCCGCTCCCGTTCCTCCCGCCGGGGTCGGCAGAATGGACTCGCACGCGTCCCAGCGGGAGAGGAAGAGAACGGGCCCCGCGAGCACCGCCCCGAGGCCGCTCGCCCGTTCCACGCCCCGTCCAGGCCCGAGCCGCCTCCCCAGCGAGCGCCCGCCGCGGCCCAGTGGCCTCGGCCCGGCCCCGGCCGAGCCTCCGCCCAGCGGGCGACCGAAGCGCCACCGCCGTRTGCCCTCCCTCCCTGCCTCCCTCTTCTCCCCGCAGCCCCTCGGTTCTCACCTCTCGGCCGCGGAGCGGGACGGGGGAAGGCGCTGGGCCGGCTAAGGCCCCGCTAGGCCGCGAACACACCGCGCCGAGCCGCTGCCGCCGCGCCGCGCGAGGTCATGTGACCCGCCCCTTCCGCCAGCAGCCCGGCGTGCACCGCGCCGCGCCACCACAGAGGCGGCTGTGCCAGAGCGCCCCCGCGCGCGCCCAGGCAGTAACGCGGCCGATCATAGAGCGGCGGCGGCTAGAAGGGCAGGAGAGAGCGAAAGGGCATGCGCGCTGCCGCCATCTTTGCTGCGGGCCGGCGGTGCGGAGCCGTGACCCGGCTCGGGGCTCCGCCATGTTGAGGTCAAGCGCTGCCGTAAGGGCTGGGGTGGCTGGAGGCCCTGGGAAGCCTCTGGAAAACGTCTGCCTGCGAGTGGCACGGCCCCTCGCCTGCTTGTCAGCCCTCATGCCCAGGCATGCACTCAGGCTAGGCTGAAGTGCGACCCGCCCGTGACGGTGGTCGGGGTGGGCTGGACAGCAGGCACAGAATCCCTTCCCTCGACCTGCTGCTCACACTGCTTGGGATGCAGCCCAGGATACATCTGGCTTTCATGGAAAGTTTTGTCTGCTGTAAAAGACTTAAGGATTTACACAGTGAAAAGAGTGAACACCAGTGTCTTAGGCAGCTGTAGGCTCATCAGAAAGATGTCACAGTGCTGTTGGGCCTAGCTATGGTGTACAATTGGTCATTTCCCTGACCTACTTCCAGCATTTAGACTACATTAAGAGACAATTTAAAAAGTACCGKTTTGCTCAAYATGACATGCARGACAGTAATTTCTATAGTTACACCRTGGATGGCAAGGAGTTGCAAGAGGAAAGAGGAAGTGATTATGAATGAAAGGAACATGATCTTACAGATTATTATGAGGTAGACCACAAAATGAACATATGTGCATTAAGCTGTTTAAAAAATGTTGGATCTGCAAGAAAAAYCTTTGAAGCAGACTGACTTCGTAAGTACAAAGCACATTAAAACTGTGGCTGATGTCATACGTACTGCTGAACAGCCAACAACTGCACTGGAATGAAMGTCCTGTTTATCACCTAGCTTTACAAGATGATGTGTAAGGGTAAATATTATGGCAGTAGCAGATTTAAGAAATACTTCAAGTTTGAATGCAATTCCTTCCCCCCATCAGAAACAACGTTTTTACTTTCTATTAATTAATAACTTGGTCCAAGCAGCCTGCATATCTCTAATACAAATTTAGTAACTGCAATACTGACCACTGTTAGTATGTAAAGTAATCTATAAACATGCCTAGGAAAACCAAGGAGAAGAAAAGGGGCATAACAAAATCTTCAGAATCTTTTTCTGTTGTTGTTTCAGACAACAGCACAGCTTGGAAAAGAAATGTGAATCCCAAACTCACTTGTACTCCTGTAATAAGTTTTTATTTACAGGAAACATTGCAAAGGCTTTGCTTGTGTACAAATTTTTTAGCCAAAGAAATAGGCCATTTTGCATTTATTCTTATTCAAATCAACTGTAGCTTCTTCTATCCTTCTTAATCCAGGAAGAATAGCAGAAGAATTGTCTTTTAAATACAGCTGCTTCCCCATCTTTATTCTTTTCGCTATGGGATTTTGGAATTATCCACCCAGGGTGCCTATATTTATTTTCCTGTCTTTCAGTCATGAAACTGAGATCCCTTTCCAGATACTGACCACAGTTCACAGTTCAGTTTCTCAAGGCAAACTCCAGAGTTTCATGCTGAAGCCAATCATGAAGAGTGCAGTAGACAGCTTTGACTATTAAGGCTAAAATTAAAAGAGGTGCTTTTTGTGTCTGCCAATTGTCTTGTATTTCAAGCATGACAAATCATCCCAAACATGTTAGGCAGCACCTCAGGGCACAGGGGTCACACTATTTCTAGGCTATGCATTTTAAAGATTTTATGTGCATTTTGTCTTTCCTTCCTCACACCCTTCAATTGCTCCCTCTATCACATTCTAAATACAGCCACTTAGAGGAAGATCCCTTAGACACTAGACTGTGGCTGTGAGCTCATTCCTTGGCTCCTCTGAATAGTACTGTGAGATTTGAAAGTTTCTACCTCATATGTATTACTTATATACATTATTCAGGATTTTTTTCAGTCTGAAGACATTTGGTTCAGCAAAGTTGTATTCCTATAGATGTCAGCTTGTTTTGTCAGTCCTTTAAATTAATCTTTTACGCAAAATATTGAGTGAAAATACATTCTTGCTAGAGCACGAAAGAGAACAGGGATGAGAGTTACTGTGCCAGTCTACACTCATTCATCATCACTAAACTGCATAAAAGAGAAATAATTAAATAATGTAYATGTCCCCACAAATACATATATAGTACAATCTAGTAGAACAAAAGCACTTCAGCAATACACTTGAATTCTGAGAGGATCTCAGTCACTCCCTGTGTTAGAAAATTCACCAATGCCTCATTTTTGCAGTAATTGGACCTGCTGTCTGAATTTTGTGAAATGATGATACTTSAAAGGTAAATCCACAATCACTGCCATCTACGTGGCTATCCAGCTGGMGAATTTGGCTCCCTCTTGAAATTATTTGTCTACAGCCAAAGCAACGGACCAAAGGATGGGGCACATCATAGCTGCCTGTTAGTGGTTAACAACATGTAATATTCACTGAAGGAAAACAGTGCATATCCTTCCTCTGGTGAAGTAACCATTCGCATTTGATCCAAACTTACAGCCAATAGCTCTTGTTACTTTAGAAGAGAAATTGCCTGTGCACTGGCTATGCTACAACAAAAACATTTTTGCATATTATCTAAATCACCTGCTTCTGTATGTATGTGTGGCCAATGAAAAGTAACTCATTATTTCTTGTAGCACCCCATAAGCCAGCAGYTCACTGGAGCCACAACTGGCCAAGGTGACTTCCTCATCGTGTGGTTTCTTTGACCATCTCTGTGTGGCGTTCTCCGCCCATTTCAACAGCTCTGATTTGTGACAGTGAATCTGCCATTTTTTGGTAGGTGCATGCCTTTATTTTGGACCTGCAGTGTCTTTCAGCTATATAAATAATGGCTGAGCACCCATAGGTTGAAGATTCAGTCATGAAAAAACCTTAAAGGCTGCAGTGACAATGACCAGTGGCTGTCCTTGCTGAGACTTCGTTTAGATGCATGAGTGGACATGAGATCTGGGCGCCAAGTGCTCTCTCCTCAGGTGGACACCGTGATCCATTCGTTTGCCAGACCTGGAGGCCTGGGAGCAGCCGCTTGGTCGTTCTTCAGGCGGTGGGAGGAAAGAGCTTCGCTAGGAATTTCACCCCTCAAACCCTGCTGGGAGCTATTTACACTCCTCCGGCGCAGCTCCTCGGGGGACCCAGGCAGATGTGAGCCACGGGAAAGAAAACAAAACGAGGGGAGCAGAAAACCTCGGGTTCACCGCAAGGGCCGAGGCACCGCGTCTGCACGCCACGGCCACTGCGCGTCCCGGCCGGCGCGATGAGCCAGGGGTGGTGCAGCCCCCGGACTACAGCTCCCGGCGTGCCAGCGCCGCTCCGCCTTCTGCTCGCCGCCTTCCAGTCTCCGCGGTGAGAAAATAACCCCGAAGTTCCCCGCGATCAGCTGATCCCGGCTGACAACGAGGGGAGCGGGCGGAGGAGGCACGGGTCCTGGCCGGCCCTACCCTGCTCCGTTCCCCCGGGCGCCCCGACTGCATGGTCGGCCCCTGGGGGAGGAGAACCGGGGGACGCCCCCCGGGCGCGGAGGGGACGGGGGGGGGAGGAGGAAGCCGCGGCCGGGACCCGAGTCCTTAGTCACCGGGTGCCGGCGGGAGGAAGGGGAAGAAAGGTGGCCGCCGGCTTGTAAACAATAGCCCGGCTCGCGGCGCCCCGTTCCGCGCCGCCTTTGTTCCCGGCCCGCCGCGGCTCCCACCCGCTGCCGCCGMTCGGCGGGAGGAACCCGGGGGCTTYCCCMTTCCCGGCCGGCCGGCGCGGCGCCGGCTGCAGCCCCAGGTAGGTGCGGGCGCGGGGGGAGGCGCCGGCCGGCACCGCCGTTACGTAACCGCGGGCGGGTCGCGGGGTCCGCCTGCAGCCCCCGCGGGCGGCCGAGCCACAAGTGCAACCAACGCGGGGCAGCGCCAGCCCGGGGCCAGGGGACCGGCGGGGAGAGGGGACGTCGAGGAGTGCGTGGAGGGTCATCTYGGAGCGACGGGGGTTCCGCGCTGTCTGGGAGCAGGGGAGGCGGCCCGGAGCAGCGGTCGAGACAAAGGCGGCGGCGGGGTGCGCAGGCTGCCCTCGGCAGGCGCTGGTCTCGGGGCTCTGCTCTGGCAACTTGGGGCGCGGGGGGAGAGAGGGAAAATCCGTCGTCTGTCTGTCTGGCCGCGGTAGTGATCGTCTTCAAGCGTTACTAGAAGGAGCGCACAAAGCGGATTTTTGTTTATCTGGTGAGGCACATCAGGAAATTCCCAGCAAATAAATACTGTGAACTCTCCGAAGGAGGAGCTTAGCTGTAGAGTGAAAGCAGAGAATTTTCTAGTCTTGACACGGTCCTTTTGTGTGTGTGTATGTACATGTATATGCACTTGTGCATTTCTGGTGCCCTTTTTGTCTGTGTCACCAGCTGTCAGGGAAATACTTGCTGTATCTGCTGAGGTACACCAGGCTGGGCTTTTTTTCTCGTCACTAAAAGTACGTTAAACAGCTAAGCAGAGAAAGAAAGTACCAATGTTTGGRTATAATAATACATGAAACCAGCTACGTTGTCTAAGTTTATTTTTGGAGAAAGAAAACTTCATAAGCACTCAACAACACTCTTCCTGTGAGGCAGGTCAGTGTATGAATCTTACAAAAACATACATTAATTATTTRAAATTAAGTACAGACAACATTTCTCTTGTGTTTCTTCTGTGAAAATACAAAATTTGCAACTGACTTTTACACATATTGTTTGAAACAGAAACAGGAAGGAAAAAGATTGCTTTAAAGAAATCTGAAGATGAGCGCCCACACACAAACTGCAGAGAAAGGACAGAACACGACCCTCCTGTGCCAGGAAAGCTATGTTTGCAGTGGGACAGATGAAGCAGTCTTTGAGTGTGATGAGTGCAGGAGTTTACAGTGCCAGCGTTGTGAAGAAGAGCTGCATCAGCCAGAAAGGTTACGGAACCATGAAAGGACCCGTATAAGACCCGGCCATGTCCCRTACTGTGACTCCTGCAAAGGTGCCAATGGGAACATAATGCATGCCAGTATGACGGGCTCGAGGCAAATAGCAGCAGTGAGGTGCCAGGTGTGCAAAATCAACCTCTGCGTGGAGTGTCAGAAGAGAACACATTCTGGGGGAAACAGAAGGAAGCACCCTGTCACCGTGTACCATGCTGGCAAAGCTCAAGAACAGGAAGADGAGGCGGGGATGGATGAGGAGACCAAGAGAAGGAAGATGACAGAGAAAGTTGTGAGTTTTCTCTTGGTGGATGAAACTGAGGAGATTCAGGTAAGAACTGTTGTGGTTTGTTGTGAACAGGCAAGATCTTCCAGTTTCTTTCCTAGTCTAACAGGTTGCTGTGGTGCATGGTTACTACTTGAAGTGTAACTAGCAGCAGTAACAAAATGATGGCCAGTAAAGTGCAAGTGCCACTGAGCATCTTGGGCCAAAAATAYACAGTGTCTTTGAGTGGCCTCGCTCATGAGTTCCTCAAAAGGTCAAGTTCATTAAAACCTTATGTGTGGCAAGAGACTCCTCTAAGAGGCTTGGTAAGCAAAGCTGGTGAAAGAATTGACTCTGTACTGAGACACACAGAACTAAGATAAGAGCTGTCTGTGCAAAATGCTGATCATTCCTGAACAAAATCAAATACATTGTATTGCAGTAGGTATCCTGAAAATAGGACTGCTGGCAGGCTATCTCCTACTRTATGACTAGAAGAGGGCACTGTACCAAACTGTGCTAATGCAACACTGCAACACATTGGTACCATATAGCGCCAGTAAATCCATCTGATTTTTAGGAATAGGAAAAGATAGAAATAAGGATCCAAAGYGTTCCATCCAAGGCCTATAGACACCATGGTTAAGCTRTATTGCTTGTCACAAATACTATTACATGTTAGCCTTTTGGTGAAAGAGGGGGAAGTTGCCATTGGGGTAGATCTGCTAATATAAATCATAGGAACTAGTTGACTAGGAGCAGCCTCCCAGGAGGCACTGTTTTAGAAAGTCTAGCATTCAATATATGCAGTTACGGAACTGTTCTGTTGGCCCTTACATTTGGTAAGCCCTTTACCGTGCAAAATGTTTGAAAGCCATGGAGCATATTAATTACACAACTAAAAACTGGACTTTGGTTTCTGACTTCCAGTTTGCATCCTTTATGTTAAACCTCATCCACGAGACACTGAAAGAAAATGTATAGTCACCTGGAGACTCAGTATCTGGTTGCTCTAATTTAACGTACTCATGCTACCATCATTAGAAAGAATTGTGATGATATTTTTTATAGTTATTTGTATCCATCATAGTAACAGTAGGTGTGCTTGTCATGCATTACAAGGAAATGTGATTTAAGTGTCTCATATCTATTCCATACTGTAGCAGASTGTGTACATACATATATATAGAATGGTCACAAGGTACTTGGGTCAAATTTTTGTCAATTCGGGTGTACTGATTGCTAAACTCTCATGGCTTTTGAAGGGGAAAGAGAGGAAAGGATGTCCGTTCTTAGGGTGTGCTGACATAGAAAACACACTGTGCAGGACAGCAGTGACTGTAAACTGAATGCTTCAGTTTCGGATGTTGTAGCAGTCCTAGCTTTGCATGCCTCCAAGCCTTAAGCACACACACATTTCCTTGTAGTTCRTGACAGATGCAACTATTACTTTAAGATGCAGACTTTTCTGTAATCCATCTCTAGCTATTAGAGCAAGCTCTGAAATGCCTTGGAACAGGGCTGTGCTGGAAAGCTGCTCACAAACTGTGTGTGTGGTTGCACTGGTTTAAGTTATATTTATACTCATGAATCTGTGAGCCTTACTGAGGTAGACCTTTGGCTGCCTCCTGCAAGCAAGTGCATTTGCTCTTTGAATGTCATGGGCAATAAAGCCAACTTCCTTATAGGGACAGCAGTGATCCTTTATCAGATCTTAGCAATTTGGTCAGAACAGGTTGGGTTGAAAAACTCTCCAAAAATTGTCTTATTTCCCTATCAAGATGTTGAATCAGAGCTGTTCCATCTGGAGTGATCATCTTTTCCTTGCAGCTGAATACATATATGACATTTCACAGCCAGTGTCAAAGGAGTTTGAAAGATTTCAATTAAGTTATTTTCTGGTAGCTGGAATTTAAAAAGTGGTTTCTATTGTGGTGATATTTCTGCTAGTGAGCATGAGGACTTTTATTTAGAAAGGCCTGTCAGATGCTGCAGAAGATGTCTTCAGAGCTAAGTAGTCATCTTTTGCTCTTGATAATACTAAGGAGGCAATTTAGCTATAGAAAAGTGATCATCAGTCTTTTATTTTGTGTTTGTCATTACTGGGGAGAAATCATTAGAATATTCTTTATTTAAACCAACTTTTTGTCCAAAAGTGTCAAAATACTAGTAACATGAAATGTGGGGATTTTAAGTTTGAGGGTGTGTGGCTTTTTAAGCTTGAGCAGACAAAATAAGAATTTAACAGAATTTTGTAGTTCAGCTATCTTTAACTGTGTTTAATGACCTTTGGAACTTGAAAATTGTTGCATTAGTTGGGAAAGAAGACAGGAAACTGCTGATTTGCTATGTGTGGTGGATCTGCCATAGGAGTGTTAAAAGCTACGAAATTACAAGTGTTAAAAACTACACACACACCCCTCCCCCCAAAGTAGATGGAGCTAATTATGCTGCTGAGCAGCGAATGGTGGATTGAAATAATCACTGATGTGTATTTGTTTACAAACATCTAACTTGAAGGTGGATCAATGAGATGGGGACACAGGGCCAAAAGATTTGTTTTTTTAGTTTCCTTTGGAACCTGGAGTTGGTAAACTCAAGCAGTTATGTTTCATCTCACTGATCCTGTTGGCTTCTTGGAGGTGGTAGCTCTGAAACTGAAGAACATTTATAGTGTGTAAGCAAATGACTGATCTAGTTCTAGAACCAGTAGCAATGTGGATTAATCCATAAGGAGCTGTGCCTGAGCAAATTAGTTCAGCAGAGAGGTGGAAATTCTCAGTTTGGGCTCAGCGCTAYGCAGATACAGCTATGATAGTTCTGAGATCTGCATAATTGTCTTTGAGCCATGTTGCACAGATGTGCTGGCCTACTCAAAGTTTTTTGTGCTTTGCAGGCATAATCATAAGCTCAGAAAGCTGAGGACTTGTGCTTATTCAAACCCACATAGATACAAAAGGTCCCATTTTAAACCACTGCTTGTTTGTAGAAAACTGATAATAGCTGAAGTTTTTTTCTGTGAAATACAAGGTTTTCTGTGATCTTAATTGTAACAGCACTACATCTGAGCATCTCAAAAAGAAGTTGGCTATCTCATGTTAAAAAGRTGTTGTTAAAGGTTAAATTCAAGCTCTCACTGCAAGTCTGTGGAAGAACATGGAGGGAGTTGTTCCTCATGGAGTCCAGCCCCAGGTGTCTCACACGCTGCACAGCACAATGCTTTGCAACTCTGATGAGTTAGTCCCCAGGTGTCTTGACCTACATGRTGAGCTTTTTCTTCCTTTTTCCAAGACTTGATGCCCCTCCTAAGACCTYCCTGGCTTCTGACAAAAAACAAATTGTTTTACAAATTGGCATCACCCCATTCAAGGCTCTCTTTCTCAAGCTCCRTTATGCAGTTTCTGTTTACACGGTATTAAACTTTTGGCCTTAGTTATTGCATATCTAAAGCTGAGGCTTCAATCAAATTGTTATTCATAACTGCAGCATCTGTTTGTTAATTGGTTCTGACATAGTCTTATCTTCCCTGTTTATCTGAGAATGATRTTGTGGGGATTACTTCCGCAGTCTATTGCTTTGGTCTTGTCGCTGCTCTCTTTACAACCTCTCCTCTTTGCCTTGTTAGACTCAAAAGGTGTGCCTTCTTTTCTTTATATGTGTAAAAGAATACYTGATTCCCTCAACAGAATCTCCTGATCTGCTCTCTCAAGATGTCAGCTTTCCTTTCTTATCTCTAACTTCATGAATTCTCAAACAAGCATCATTGTGTTGTCAGTACTGCTTAATCTTGCACACAGGAGGCACTTCCCATAAGAAGTCACAGAATCAATTAATTTTTTTTTAACTGATATTTCTGTATCTATTAAAAAAATCACAGTGAAATACAAGAATAAAACATGACTCAGGTTGTGATACTTGTTTCAAATTCTGAGGTTGTTTTACTGTCCCATGAACTTTTCAACTCACCTGGATCTGTCTTTGTGTCTTGTACTTATATTTATGCAGTTTCTGGAACAGTTTCCATTTCTGCTTGGTCTTTATGTAACAGGCTTGCAAAAGAGCTCTTTAGCATAAAGCAGAGTAATACGTCCATTGTACAATGAACTTCATTTAYTACTATTTTTGAGTCAGGGAGGGAATGCTTAACAATGCGTAACAACAGCTTCGTAYTTTTATCTTGGGGAACACATGTTGGGAGTTCTTACCACAAGATCAGAACTTGGTTGTAGCGTCACTAATGGTTTCTATGATAACACTGTTCTAAGCCCTAATTAAGGACTCGGCACATATGCTTAAAAGAAGTAGAAAAAGTCTTTCATTGACCCCAGAAGATAGAGGACATGCTTGATTGTTATAATCTGCTTTAGAGTTCACTCATTTTTGACCAGAAACTAGTTCTGTTGCAAGAAACTACCCAATTTATGGATTGCAAAGAAAAATAAAAGGTGCTGACTTTGTAGCGTGACTTACTAAGCAGACTAGAAGAAAAGAAAAATTTCCCTTTAGCTAGTCACAGAAATAATTTTCCCAGCTGTGTAATTTTATGAGGGAGCAGGAGTGTACATTTATTGCTATGTCTCCCCTGAGATACCCCTATGARCTCGAGCTCCCTTCCTTCAGTTTACATCATCTTTTTGTGTGGCAATAGATATCTCAACTTCCTAAATCTATCCCCATTCCTCAAGGCATTTTTAATTCCTTCTAGCAGGTCTAGATACCTAAAGGAGTAAGCTTTGCTTAGCAAGTATGAGCAGGATCTATGCCATGCTTTGCAGTCAGTTAAGATAATGCAAAAGGACCTATAGCCCTTATTTAAATGCAGACCATTTTGTACAATCATTAAATAACCCATCACTAACAGCATMATAGTCTGTGTGTCCTCCTCTGTCCTCTCCTGTTAAAAAGTTACACATACATAGTGATAACTATGTAGGGTTGCTACCTGCTTTGCTTTTCTCACTCCTGCTGTAAACCTGATAGATGTACTGTGATTTATCCTTACTACCTACTGATTTGAGCCTGATTAAAATCTATGGATGAGAGAATGGAGTCTCTAGAAACAYATT